GGAGCGTGGTTGTAGTCACCTGAGGGGCCTCTTTGCGGGGACAGGGCTGCCTATGGCCATACCACTCTGAGAACATGCAATCTCGTCTTATCTTGGAAGCTAAGCAGGGTCAACCCTGGTTAGTATGTGGATTGGAGACTCTTTGGAATACCAGTCCCTTCCCTTTGTTATGTGTGGTCTAGGTCTTCATTTTTGGTGGCGGTGTCCTGATCCGTCTTTTATGTTTGTTTGTTTCCTATGCTTAAATGTTTTTTTTCTCTGTTAAGTAACTTTCCATCTCTATTTTCTTTTCTAACGTTTTTGCTCATTTTCCTGCCTATATTTTTTTTTTATGTTATTGGCACTAATGCACTTTCTGCAGCAGTCTCTCTGGGTTGACTACTTGCTGGGGGTTTCTTGTGTGTGATGATATCGCATTTTCTTCGGGCCGCTGTGATGTCTGTTTACTTCCCATGGCACAAGCATCGTGCAGTCTGTTGCTCCATCGCCTGTGGTGTGGGTGCTGCCGTCAGGGTAGTTTCCACTAGTTGAAGAGCCCATGTGTGTCTGCGAGGGGCCGCGACATGCTCTGGAATGCCCACTGCAGGATCCCGTCCCAGGTACCCTGCAGAACAGCCCCAGGGGGGTCACTGTCCCTCTTTATCCTGCTCCCTGCCCCCCCGGGCTGTCCTGGCACTCCCCACCTTGCTGACAGCCTGACATGACCTTGTGGGTCACACCAGAGATGTGGTCCCCTGTGAAGGGACTCTGTCTGTTGGGGTGTGTGTGTGTGTCCCCACCAGTGCCGTACCTCACCCAGGAGTGCGTCGAGCTCGTCCCTGCTCAGCACCGGCTCGCTGCCATGGGAGACATCCTCTGCCTGTGGGAGGAGACGTCCTGTCCGCTTTCCTGTCTGCCTTCCGCCTGCACCTCTCAGCTCCCAGCCCCTCGGGCCAGAGCTTCACTACTTCACCTCTAGCTACAGTCAGCCCATCCCTCACCCAGCTGGAGCCATTGCTCCTGGGCCTCATCAGCCCTTTGTACCCACCTCTGCCACCTCACCTGGCCCCTTTCCCTTCTCCGTGGCCAGGCGCTGGTTGTACTGACCTTTGCTGCCTGTATCGGGTGGTCTCCGGTCGCCACAGTTCTCTCCAGGCTGTCTGTGTCCTGGCTGCAGGTGCAGGACGTGCAGAGCAGCAGCACCCTACAACCGACAGGAGTGACACAGAGCATCAGGGCGATCCCCCTCAGCAGGAGAATTTAAGGTTGGGATGTGGGGGCTCACCCGGAGTCCCCACTGGGCGTGGGGCAGTGTCGGGGTGCAGGGATCTGGGTGAAGCAGCGGCCGCAGATGCTCCCATCGCCTCCGCCCTGCCGGGTGCTGCACACCTCCTCCCCCGGGATCTTGGGGAGTTGCTCCACATCCACCTCCCGCAGCTGGCCTGGCTCGGCCATGCTCGCCACACAGGAGCCGCACCGCCATGTCCCGCTGCACAGCCGGAGTGTGGGGGGGTAAGAAGACAGCCGGGGGGCAGCAGGGTCCCTGTGATACCCCGGGGCTCACCTGGGGACACATGGCAGTGGGGGCACCAGGCAGGAAAGGTGGAAGGCTCTGGGGCAGCCATCACAGCAGATGAGCTCACCACCATCACCGCACGCTGCACACTCGTCCTCGTTTTCCTGCCCCGGGGGAGCAGGCAGGGGGGGTCACTGCCACCACCCCTCCTGCAGGCTGCAACGCTGGCTGTGGCAGGGCTCATGCTGGCGGGGGACCCCATAGTCTGTCAACCCCGTCACCCTCTCCCCCTGCGTCATTCACCCCGCACCACTCAAACCAAGCCTTTTCAGGGCAGGAATTGCCTGGGTTTGGGCAGTTGTAGCCTGGTGACTATGGGTTGCCTGCTCTTCGCCAGGCCAAAGGGACGTGCCAGGGACGCCCCGATGGCCCCCGGCGCACCCGCTGCCTCTCAGCGGTTCACCAGGTGCCATGCCTGGGGCTCACCTGGTGGGGCACGGGGTCCTGGCTGGGCACGGTGGGCGCTGACAGCTGGCCCTGGGGGAGCAGTTGGGGCTCCCCACTCTGCTGGTGAGACAAGAGAAGGGTTGGGGGGAAGCTGCCGGGACAGCCGGGCACGGGGGGCACCCCCAGACCATGGGCGTGCTGCCAGGCAGGGATAATCCCCTTGCCACTGACTCAGGCAGCTGCAAAAGCAGGGGTGAAAGTGGGGGTTGGGGAGGTGTCTGTACACTTTGCGATGCCTTGGACCGGGTGGCGGGCTTCAGGCTGTGGCTTCTGCTCCTGGCCCCTGGCTCCTCGCAGGCGGCCAGGGCGTATGGCTCGTCCCCAGCTTTGCTGCCCATCTTGGAGCTGCCTGCAAGAGAGGCCATGAGCAGCTCCGGCAGGGCTCCCTCCTCGCCACCCCCCTGCCTGGGGGCAGCTTCTGAATTTGGGGGCTAAACTGGGCACGAGGTTGGCCGGGTTCGGCTGCACCTACCCGGCTCCAGCACGTGTTTGATGAGGATGCCCTCGATGGCCCTGCGGGTGACGGGCACCTCACTGCCGGCCACAGCCACCGCTCTCCGCACTGAGGTGGCCACTGCCTGCAGGGCTGCAGGCAGGGGGGATGCTCAGTGGGACGGGCAGCCCTCCCCGCCCTCGACTGCAGGCAAACAGGGCGCACAGGTAAACGCTGCCCCAGGCGGGGTTCAGAACTCACCACCAGCACGAGGGGTGTGGGGAGCATCCGCGCTCTCTGGCTTCTTCAGGGTTCTTGCCTTTGCCAGGGGCCCTGCATGGTTGTGAGGGTGGGCATCAGGGGGCACAGCAACCCCCAGCACCCCACCCCATCTCCATCCCATTTGGGATCTCCATACCGGGGCTGGTGGTGTGCCGTGGGGAGGGCTGCACCGCCCGGGCCCCATCCCGCTCCTCGGGGGCTTTCCTCTTGCCTTGGGGTCTGTGTGGAGCCGGTGCCGTGGGGCTGGGGGACAGGCGCCTGCTGCGGCGCTGCCGCCCCAGTTCCACCTCTGCAAAGGGGACAGGCACAGCCAGCTCCAGGAGTCACCCCTGCCTGCTGCAGCCCCCGGGGATGGTGGTCCCCCGATCCGTTCTCCTCCTACCTCTGGGGAAGGCACCACGGAGGGGCCGGAGCCTGGTGTACCGCTCCAGGTTGTAGTCCTTGAAGAGGACGGCCCAGAAGTCGCGGACAGTGGCAGTGTCGCGGCCCAGCAGCCAGGTGAGCAGCGCATGGAAAGCACGGTGGGAGCCCTCCCGCTCTGTCTGGCTCAGCGTCTCCTGCCAGTGCCACCATGGCCCGTCAGCACGTGTCCCAGTGCCACCAGGCAACCCCAGTCTCTGCTGTGTGGGTGTCCTCTCCCGCCCCGCAGCCTCACCTTGAAGATGTGCTCAGGGACGATGTCATGGTCGGCCAGGCCGTGCAGCAGCGGAAAGACGTCATCCACCGCCATGGCGATCTCAGTGCGGTGCAGCTTCAGCAGGTGCCGCAGGTCCCCTTCACCCCCTGGCCCCGCCATGCTGCAGGGACGCTGCCAGGCCCAAGCTGCCCGCCCCAACGCTCCCCTTTAATACGCCTTGGCCGCCACCAGCGGAAACCTCATCGGGCTCCCGCAGCCCCGCTCATTTCTGTAGGCCATGTAACCTGAGATCACCCCTCCCGCCGCCAGCCGTCCCTGCGGCATGGCTGGTCTTGCCTCCGCGGCACCACCGCACCCCTGGCCCTGGGGTTGGGGTCAGGCTGCTCCCCAGCTTGGGACATCAACGGTTGGCATGACATTAGCTGCCGCTGCTGGTGAAGGACACCTGACCTGGCAGTGACCACCCACGGGGTGGCTGGGGAGAGGGGTGGTCAGCCTGGGTGCTGGTGCAGAGGGCCCCTGCCTCTCTCATGCCCGCGGTCAGCCAGGCCATTGCCCCAAAATTTCTGGACTTTCCACAGCACCTGCTTCTCTCATCCAGAAACTTGGCTGCGGGAGCACGTGGGAAGTAATGCCCCAACAGTGAGGGAAAATGGGAATATTGCCCTGGCTACCAGCAGAGCACCTGCTATGGGCTGGCAGGAAAGCACTGACGCCAAAGAAACTCTACCAACATGCGTTTGCATACAATTAGAGATGCTGAACAAGCAAACAGCCCCCTTCAAGCATCGCACCGCTGCCCTCTGGCCTGCCGGAGGGATGGCAGTGCTGTGAGCGAGCCTGGGGATTACCTGGGCATTACCCAGGCAGGCGCTGCCCGAAGCTCTGTCATCACCTGCTCTGGGAAACTGGGCAATTAAGTGGTTTCGCTGGACAGCCTCAGCTGTAAAAAACTTGGAGCTGGGGGAAACTGGCTGCTTGGGAGCATCTGGTATACAAAAGTCTGGAGGTCTGGCTGCTCTGTACGAGGTGGCCGGGAAGGGGAAAGCTCCAATGCTCCTATCCCAATTCCCAAACATTTGCAATTTCACCAGGATTAATTTCCAGCCTCTCGCCCACTGGCGATGCATCCCTGCTGCCTGGCAGGCTCAGCTGGGGGTGCCGTGGCCATGCACAGCCGTCCCCACACCGTGGGGTAGCACCTGCTGCTCACTGTGCAGCACAACGCAACCTGAGGGCAACCGGAAAGGGGTGCAAGGGGGGATGCTCTGTTGCACGGAGCAAGGCAGTACAGGTAGGAACAGTCATTAGTAAGTCCTAAAAGGCTGGATCTGTATCTGCTGGCTCCAAAGGCGTGCCAGGAGGAAGCGGCTGCTGTCCGGAAACTCAGGAAGAATAACAAGACAACACCCTCAGCAAGAGCAGGAAATACCCTCGTACATGTCTGGTTAATAAATTAGAGTTTACCCATGGAAACACTTGCCCTGAAGCTCCTTTCAGCATCTGGGGTGATGTTTCCCATGGAGGCACCGGCAGCCATGGGATGGGGGTCAGGCAGGCACTGTGCTGCGTTCCTGTGCCCCACACCAGGATTTTGGTGCCCAGCTCTGCCCAGCTTTGCCACCACCTGCCTGATGCACACGCCCCCAGGGAAAAAAACATGGGCATCAGGCGAAATGGGAGCTTCACCTCCCCTCCTGGAGCTCCCCCACAGCCCAGCCACAGGTGCTGAGCACAAGCACACTCATGATACAGCCTCACAGGTCTGCTCCACCTTTCCTGGGAAAACCATTTTCCCCAGTGTTGGACCTGCAGCGCCACAATTTGTCACCATTGCCCTGTGTGGAGCTGTCTGGCACATCTAGGACAAGGCTCCGGCACTTGCTGCACCTGTGCCCACCCACCCATGGTTATGGGAGCTCCTTTGCAGGCAGGTGCTGCCCAGCGCAGCTGCGAGGCCCCAGCGCTGGGCTCAGACATGTTTTAAATTCCGACTTTGCAACCATTTCTGTGCTCTGAATCACTGACAGGTTGTTCTCCACATCCAGCCCACTCAGTAGGGCAGTAATTTGCATTTTGGGTTGTCTTCTTCATGTTCCTTCCCCTTTCTGAGACACTACACAGCGGGCAGAGCAGCAGCTGCCATGTGACGAGGCATGTATGTCCCGGGAGATCAGACGGGTATTTCTGTACCTCACTTAGAGCAGACCTTGGCAGCCTTGAGAAGTCAGCTTTCACTTGCAGAAAGGTGTAAAACCTTCTCTGGGGCCGGCGCAAGCCCTGCCTGGCTATGAGAGCCAAGGCTGGGGCGCAGAGGAGGATTTCAGGACGCCCTCTCTTTTCTGTTTCTTGCCTTGCAGAAATCAGAGCGCAAAAGCTCAAGGTAAGAGAGTCCCATTTGCGCTCAAATCTGACTGCAAAGGCTGAAGATGTTTCTCCACAAACGCCCAGTTAAATCAGCAACTTGGCAGCCATCAGAAGTGTTTGTAGCCCCTGGGATGCACCTCAATTTCTTCCTCCTGTGAAAAGCTGTTGAAGCAAACGTGCCCTTTCCACCATTTCTTCCTTTCCCATCTCCCTTCCACGCCGAGGTGCTGTGGTATGAACCATCATCCTGCCATGTCTCTTGGACACCACGTGCCCCACCCTCACCTCATACAACACGTCCCAGAATCAGAGTCAGGAGACAAGCAGCAGAAGGGGGGAACCCACCTGCGGGAATGCCTGAAGCACACCGAGCTCCAGTGAAATGCTCCCACCATGTGCAGAGGTTTCATCCCTCTCCCCATACCTTCAGCTGCTCCAGGCTCCAGCATATTTGGGTTAAAAAAAAAAAAAAAAAAAGAGGCCCCCATCCTAGACCCCCATTTCTAGCAGCTTCCCTACCACTGCCCCACGCAGTCCAGCTGAGAGCGAGTCCAGCTGCACGCTTCACCGCAGCTCCTGCAAGAGCCTGGGAGGAGTAGAGAAGATTTAACTTTGGTTTCCTCTTTCCTCCCCCTTTAGAAAGAAGAAACAAAAGCCCAGAGGTACATTATATTAATTTATTTGGGACACACCAAAAAAGGAAAGTCGACAACTGTTAACGTACAAAAGTACAGAATCCTGGGACAAGATTTACTGTCCTGATTAAAAAGGCACCATGGTCCCAAAGAAGAGTAATCAGAATACATCATTTAGAAATTTTCCCCCTGTTGCAGCAGAAAGAGAGCCAGGCCTTGGCTCTATCCACAGTCAAACCCAGTTAAAAAAAACAAGTATGATTTAAATGCGATGAACACTGCTCAGCCTGTACAAGATGTCTTGAAAAGAATCACAGCCTAGAAGATGGTCGGACTTTTTTTGCTGCTTTTTTTTTTTCCTTTTTTAAAACAGCGAAGGTGACAAATCACCAAGTATCTAAGTGAGGAAGACAGCAGACTTCTGACGTCTTCAGCTCGACTTTCTGTAAGACACATCAGTCAAACTGAAACTAGTAGGCCGAGTGTGGGGCTTCTGAATGAAATGCAATTCCCTGTGGCATACAGGAAGTCAGATTTGACAACCTTAAAATCCCTGAAAATCATAAAGCACTATACAGCTGTGTTCCATATTCGAGTCAACCCTGGTGGATTTGCTTTACACACAAGCGTTTATAATGTCAGCTATATTTGTAAATACAAAGGGGGATTTTACAGCAGTTATTAAAAAAATTCTACTTCGGCGAGGTCCGAGCTTGGCTATATTCCCTGCTGAAACAGAGCTGCTGGTGTAAAAGCCCAGTGAGAGGCTCAAGTCCAGCACCTCAGGGCTGGAAGGCAAATAGTTTAAAGGTGACATAATTTGCATGGGGAAGTCAGTGAAGCATGTCAGAGAGAGGAGGAGAGAGAGGGCTGCGAACTCTCAAGCAGCAGCGGCTGAAGGGCATTGGAGAATGTGGGTGCATGCTACTGAACCCGTAATGACACTATGAGTGCTACGGAATACACTGAGTTCACTAAATATTTTGGAGCAACTTACCATGAAGAACTTCTTGGAGACACAGATTAAGGATCCCGGCAATTACTAATGAGCAAGGTTGCTGGGAAGCCAATGCATTGCTCGGAGCTGGATGGATCTGTCTGTAGGCGGAGGGATGGATTTGAGGTACGCCAGAGCCTGCCAGAGCAGCAAGGCCGGGGCTGCCGCCACCTCTTGCGCTTGCTAGCTCTGCTGCGTCCCAACTGGACCAGCTGCTGATTTGCGTTTCATTCCTCCTTTGGCATAGGACTTCAAAGCAGTCCAGGAACTGATTCATCGAAAGTAAAGGAACTGTCAAAATTATTCATACATGCATTTATTGTTAAAGGGAGCAAAAGCCTAAGAATGAAACAGCACGAGTTAATGTCAGTAAAATGATGTGCAGGATGGAGAGGAAAGAAAGGGGGAAAAGCCGAGATACTGGAGTGAGGAAACCAGCATTCACACTGAAAGGTAAATTTGAAAACCAGACAAGTTTGCGCTCTTTCTACCAGAGAACTTCTGTGGACAAATAGAGACTTGGGGGCTTTTAGTTTTCAGTGTAGTCTGGCAAGGTTTGGGAATCTCACCAGAGAGATCTCCAGCACTGGGTTTCACTGGAAGTTCAAGTCTCTCATCTTTAAAAACCAGTAAAGCAACTCTAACTCAAAATGGCAGATACCCTCATACTGTGAGTATACAAAGTGACGGACACATCGCTGCTCAGGATTTATGTGGGCAAGAGGGATACACTTTCTTCAAACAAACACCAGGTGGAAAACAACCGCTTCCACCCTGCAGGTCTGCACGGACCTCGGGGGGGGGGGGGGGGGGGGAAAAGCGAGCCCAGATTCAGGGGCCTTTTGCCATAAATACCACAGCTACCCACATCTGGGAAAGCTTTTTCTTCCCTTTATCCTAAGAAGGCAGGATAACAGTTTATGAAATTCTTCCCATCTTAAAACTAAATGATGCAATTTGCATCCTTCCCCCATCTTACCCCCTGGGAAGATAAAACATTACCACTTCATTTAGGATTCACACCTCAGATCCTAGATTAGGGACTTCACGTTAAAACTCATCCGCTTATGGGAGGGTTTATCCTGATCAAGGAAACGTCATTAAAGTAGAATCTAGAATGAAACATTCAGAATCACCAATGCTTTGACAGAATCACTCAAATGTCTCCTTATCTCTCTCTCCCCCTCATTGAGCGAGAGAGCAATCCCTTCACAAAACCACAGGGTGCCTCTCCGGGACTGGGTAGTACAAGCTGAAAACCAGCTTCCTTCCTCGCAGAAATGCCAAATTCTGCTGAAAGGCGCCGAGCACCTTTTGCTCCCACCAAAACCAGGAGGAGCTAGGGCTCTGCAGCACACGAATTTTCTATCAGCAACAAGTCCGAGTTATTTCCCTGCAGTAAATCCGAGTCCTGTTTTGTACTGTTAGGCCACCCCTGGCTCGGAAATGGTGAGAGACTTCCAAAAACCCACTGATGTAGACAGGACCTTGGAAGAAGAGGCTTACACACTATGTAACCTTAGATCATCCGCTATGTTTGAGCCTTTGCGTCATTAGCCGCTGACCACTTATCCTTCTGCATTCATGTCTTTTAGTCCTTGCCACCGTTGTTGGTGTCCCAGGATGTTACTGAGCTCTGGCTTGGGGATCTACAACAATCACTTCCAATTGCTGGTGGGATTTCAAACTTGCCTAACGTGTGCTTTGCCACCTCATACTCCAGCAGCTCTGCCGGCCGACTGTGGCATGCGCTAGCAGTTTTTTACCTTCTCCACAGTCTCATAGAACCCAGGCCTAACTCTCCTGATGCTCATCCGTATATGCTGGCATTCCAGGGGCATGGTGGCACTCGCAGGAGTCGTGGTGCACCGGCGCTTCCTTCTGCCCCGCAGTGAAAAGGCTGGAGCCCCGCCGTTCTCCTCCTCTGCGAGGTAGGATTCATCCACGCTTGTGCCTTCATCCGATTGCTCGTCATTTTTGTATTTCATTTCCTTCGCTTTGTTTCCTTCCTTCTCCTCCTTGGCAAGTTTTCTGAAGTGCTCCAGACATTGTATCTTTTGTCTTCTTTCCATCGTCTTCAGTTCTTGCTTGTCTGTGAAATCTTCATAGTACATTTTTCTTTCGCTCCTCTGATCTTCGAGAAATTTCCACTCGATGCTAGTCATTTTTATTCCACTGTATTCCTCCAGTTTATTTCTCATCTGCCCGTCTGTACAAAATACGTCAAAGAGCTTCTCTGAACTCTCGTTGAATTTGTCTGCTCGCTCGGTAAAAGCCTGGTTCTGTCTCTGCTTTCTGGTCTGATACAACCTGGTAAACTCCTCGTACATTTTGAGGATAAGTTTCTTTATATTTTGCGTCGCGATGGTGTGCAAGTTGCAAACCAACCAGTGCTCTTGCAAGTGCTCAGCGAGCAACTGGGCCGCGTCCTCCTTGGACCGCTGGGCCTGGCCAGCTCTTTTGGGCTGCAATAAATACAGCATATTCTGAACCACATCCTTCTTGGTTGGCAGTACTCCCTGGGTGAAACCCGAAGACTCTACATATTCAACAGTCCCCAGAGTCTTCCGTGCTCTCACCTCGGTATCCAGTGATTCCATCACTGCTTGTTTATCTTGTAGTTATGACATGATCTGAAAGACGAGGGGGGGGGGGG